AGGGTATATATATATATATATATAAAAGAGAACAAACTCAACACAACATATAATATAAGCACAAAATATTGTCCACTTATTTTTTCGCTCAAAAATTAATAAATATGTAATCATTTTTTATTTGTTTTTCATTTCACAACCATTAAATATATAACAAAGTTATGTTGTTGTTGGTAATAAAAGCAACAGAACAAAAATTAAACTCTTAAATCTGCTACAAAATATCATAAATAATCATCCCAATTCTTGAAAAATAAATACTCGCAACCTCTGGTGCAATTATATAATGAATTTACTTAACAAAGATAATAATTTAAATAAGGATTTAAAACATGTATTCACACTTTTCAAATAATATTATTTAACAAAAGTGTAACAAAATCAATATTAACTAATTATATTAGTCATTCCAAATAGACGAAAATATGCGTATTTAGCATTGTTTCTGTTGTATCCAACATTAACTTGATATAAGAATAATGGTCACACTTAATTTTAATATTATTTTTTATTATTTAAAATAGGATAAAATATTAAAAAAAAAAAAAAAAAGAAGGTATACACCAACTCATATTGAGACTCTAACTTTATAATAAATTTTATTAATATAATAAAGTTTATTATAAAATAAAAGTTTAAAGTGAAATCTTCATACTTAAAAATCTAAAACTTTTTTATTCTACTTAGTATACGGAGGATTTATTCCCTGGAAAATTCTAACATGTGTAGTACATGGATAAAACACTAATTTTTACCATTGGATATATTATTTAAAAATTGAATGGCTAAAATTTGTAACTGGCAACCGGAAGGTTTGATTTTCTTCCAAACCCTGACGGTGAGAATCGTGCCACCATCCTCCGCCACAGCTCGCTTGCGTCGACGTTCTCGCCGCCTCTGGCCTTGCGCGACGCCGATGGCGACGATGTAGGAGGGGTGGATGGGGCTGGTGATGGTGGTGGCGATGATCGCTTCTCTATCCTCAAGGCTTGCAGATCCAAGATCCTCCAAGAATCGCGCCACCATCGTCCGCCGCAGGTCGCACGCGTCGACGTTCTCGCTGCCCATGGCCTTGCGCGACGCTGGTGGCGACGATGTAGG